CTCGGTTAGTTCCTGGGATGAGGGGACTGACCTATGAGGATAGGCTGAATAAACTAGGGCTATATTCTCTAGAGTACAGAAGAATTAGGGGAGATCTTATTGAAACATATAAGATTCCTAAAAGCCTGGATAAAGTCTACACTGAGAGACTGTTTCCCCTGGTAGGAGAATCTATAACCAGGGGTCACAGTCTTAAAATTAAGGGTCAGCCTTTTAGAACAGAGTTGAGGAAACATTTCTTCACTCAGAGGGTAGTGAATTTATGGAATTCACTACCCCAGAAGGCTGTAGATGCTCAGTCCTTGAACATCTTCAAGGCTGAGACTGATAGATTTTTAAAAAATAGAGGGATTAGGGGATATGGGGATAGGGCAGGTAATTAGAGTTAGGTCAGAAGATCAGCCATGATCTTATCGAATGGCGGGGCAGGCTCGAGGGGCTGAATGGCCTACTCCTGCTCCTAATTCTTATGTTCTTATGTTCTTATAAGGCACTATATGAAATGCAAGGGTTATTATTATTATGTCCTCCCAACCTGAAAGGTGCTACATGAATATAAATTTGGATTGTATTACATTTATTATATCAAAAACCACAGCTGGATATGTGTGAAATCGCATCCTTTCTCAACCGTACTCCTGAATTGCAATCCCACCCAAACAACTACACATTTACAGGTTAGGATATTCTTAAACTAGCTGTGCAGATGTTCTGGAGTTTTGCTGTTACCTTCGGGGATGAGAGAACAATGATCCAGCTGTTTTGCTCAAATATTAACAGATGGAATAGATCCCATGGAGGGGTAGCTTTCATATGGTCTCTTGATGGAGTAGGTTTAATGGGGCCTCAAGTTGACCTTTTCCCATATAATACTTAGTTACATAATTAGTACTTATGTGGAGTCCTGTAGCTCAGTGGTTAGAGCACTCGACTCGCAGGCTCTTGTTCAATCCTGGCAGGGTGAAACGTTGGACAAGTTTCCTTACTCCACACGCCTCTGTTTACCTAGCAGTAGGTAGGAACCCAATTGTTAGTCGATTGGCAGATCGCTTTTTCGGGGGTAATAATTCCTTTAAAAAAAAATAATTTGGTCATTCAAGCCCCGACTGTTTGCGGGGCGCTGCTGTGCGCAATTGGCTGCCACATTTCGGCCACAAAATATACAGTCAATTCACTTTATAGTATATTCTATGAAGCACTTTGAGATGTCTAGAAGATGTGATAAGCGCTATATCAATTGCAAGGATTATTATTTATTGCTGTATTTATGTGTGTAGTTTTACATGGACAAAATCAAGTCAAAATGCAACACTTTATGGATCATTGATAATCATAATTCTTGCATTTGATATTGCACTTTGAGAAGTCGTTGATACATCTCAAAGCCTTTACAGGATAGACTGTAAAATGGTGTGACTGTGTGTTTTGTGGGCGAGCACAGCAGGCAATTTGCACAAAGCAATGTCCCACAAACAGCCATGAATTGCGTGACCAATTTCACTTGGGGGATTGTTGGCCAAGACAACAGAAGAAACACCTTTCTCTTTTTGAATAGTGCATTGGATCTTTATAACAACCACCTGAACAGGCGGATGGGATTCTAGATTAATGTCTCATCTGAAGTACAGCACTTACAACAATGCAGCACGCTCCCATCTAGATTATATAAGTCCAATTATCATACAGTATGGGTCAAATGGTGAGTCCTACAATAGATGGAACTCTTACACTTCTCAGGTAAAGCAAATGTGGGTACTTTAATGGTCTGGGCAAATGTACATAAACGTTACTTCAAATTGATCATTAAATAAAATAGCTGCACCGACACATTACAGAGTCTTTAAAAGGTGCACAAGTATAATGGAGACACAGATTGAGAGTCAAAAGACAGAACACCAACACACACACACACACGATGAACACAGGACGTGAAGTCTATGGACCCTGAATTGCACTTTGCTTGTGAACTCCTGCGAAGGGTCGCTTTCAGAGTTTGCAGAATGACATCTGGGGAACATACCATGGGAACAGCCCCGTTCTGCAGAGCAAGCAATTCACATAGTGCAAGCAGCAATGTGCACGAGTGAGACATATTAATAATAAATGTATATATCAGTTCAACTTGCAAGCTGCTGTTGTATATGTGGTGGATATATTAGCCTATATATGTATAACTAGAACGGGGCAGCTAATCTTTCTCAGTGTGGGCTGAGCAATATTTTCCCTTCATTTACCCTCCCACTCTGTTGTAGATTAATCCATACAGGGGTCATATACACAGCGTTCCTACAGATGACTCACTGCATAACCCAATTTATACCGTCATTTTCCCTACAAGTGCCTTTTCAACCCCATTGGTAACTTGGGTTACCTGGGTTAGACATCTACCCAACTCAGTGGGCTCTGTGGCCTGACTTTATTGTCTGCTTATGTTGCCACCTTGCTACCTGCAGTTCAGTAAATGGCAGCAAACCTTTTTTTCTGAGAGAGAACGCTACATTTCAAATGCTGCCAAAGCCTCACTTTAAAGAGATGATTTCTGCTGCTTAGTGGTCCATCCTCTAAAATACTACAGAAATATCTCTCTTCTATAAACTCTTGAGTAACAAGGTATTTCACCCTCCGCTTAGTGTAGAGACTTTGAGAATGTGCACTCGCTGAGATCATTGAGGAACTGCAGTCCTCACTCTCCTTAACCATCCTGGCCCTGGACACGTTATAACACATCAGACCAGTAACTGATGTGCAAACCCATTCTTTGACAAGACTATTCTGTTACCTTCTTCCTCTCACCTGCAGAGTCACCTGTCTGTAACATTGTGCTGTATAAGCACATCACCACCTTAGTTCAGAGTCATTTAGCTCTGGATACACAGCCTCCAGTATTGTAAGGAAAGCAGGCATGGGAGCGAGCCTGGAGATTACACTTACATAAACGGAGGTAGCAACACCTAATGCAATTGTTATCATAAATGATTAATGTGCTGAGGGAAGAGGAAAGATTTTTGACTGACTGTGCATGTTAAGTCTTCTCTTTTTAAGCAAGGTTACAGCTCAATCTGTCGCCTCTTGGAAAGAATCCTCTCCCCTCGTGGATTGCTACAGATAACAGGCCGTTTCTGTGGTTACTGGATGTGTTGCTATCTAGATGTGCATTCTCTATGCTAAGTGCACAGTTACACGTCCAGTCTATATGTTCTGAGGCCGCAAATTCCTCTTGTCCACAGGCTGACTGCCAATGACTTTTATGAATTTAACTGATATCTCACTCAGCCTGTCCAGGTTTGACCTCTTTGACTGTGCTTTTGCCTCCCACCCCCAACCCTCCCACACTACTCTTCACCCCTCTTGATACCAACTCCCAGCTTGGATGCAAACCCTTAACTGTCCAGCCCTTTTCACATCATTGATGTGAAATGCATTTGTTGTTGTTGTTTGATCACCCCACTTTAGGAAGGATATCAAGGCCTAGGATTTACTAGGATGATACCAGGGATGAGTGGTTTGACCCATGCGTAGAGATTAATATAACTGGGCTGATTTTCATTGGAACAGAAAATATTGAGGGGGAGACCTGATAGAGATCAGGGATTTTGATAGAGTAAATTAGGATAACTTATTTCCACTGGTCATTGACTCGCTGACTGAAGGGCATCAATTTGAAATAATTGGCAGGGGGCAATGATAAGGAATAATTCTTTTACACAGAGAGTTGTTAAGGTTGTGGAACATCCTCGCCGGTACAGTGGTCAAGGCAGAATCCATATTAGCTTTCAAGAGGGAACGAGTTAGATATCTAAAAAGGATTTATTTGCAGGGTTATGGCAGGGAAGCAGATAAACAAGACTGAAAGGACTGCTCTTTCAAAGAGCCAGAACAGATACAACAGGACGATTAATAAAAAAAAACCTTGCATTTGATATAGTGCCTTATCACATCAGGCGGATGTCTCAAAGAGGTTCCAGATATACTGTAAAGTGCAGTGACTGTGTAATCTGTAGACAAACCCAGCAGCCAATTTGCACACAGCAATGTCCCACAAACCGCCATGAAGTGAATGACCAATTTTATTATGGGGATTGTTGGCTAGGACACCACAACTTTCATTTTTCGAATAGGAACTTGGGAACTTAATGTCCACCTGAACAGGAAGACGGAACCACTGACAATGCAAATCTCCCCCAGGACCGCATAAGAGTGTCAGCCTGGACAATGTAAGTTTCAATATCCCAACATGGGGCTTGAACCCACAACCTTCTGTCTCAGGCATGAGTGCTGCCAACTGAGCCAGGTGAATGGACATCTTCTGTGATGCAAATTTCTATGGTTCTAAGGAACTGCAAAAAAAACAGCTTCCAAATTTAGATTCCAGGCGTAGATTGAATGTAAGAATTTTCCACAATTCTGCACCATCTTAAATTTTGAGACAAATTAATTTACAGGCTAAAACATTTGAGTGGAATTTCAGGCCTCTGGTTTGCAAGTCAGGAAGGATGCAATGACTGTTTTCTGATGTTGTTAAGTACACAAGACAAACTTTTTGGTTATAACGTTAAACAGGATTTCTTCTGTGTGCTAAACATCTGCATAAAAAGGGATTTACTTATTCTCTGAAAAAGCACTAACAGCTGCACAAAGCTGTACTATATGTAGGGAGAAATTGCACCTGGATCTAGATTCGCTCTATTTTATTTTACGTAGCATTTTTGAGTGTCCAGGATTTGGCAAATTGTTGAATTCAGCTTTACCTTGAGAAACTTACAGAAACCCAGCTTGAAAATTAAGGCTATGTTTAAGAACTTTAACACTAATAATACCAATACTAATAATAATAATGCTTGAATTTGATATAGCGTCTTATCACGTCTTCAAGACATCTCAAAGCTCTTCACGGAATATACTGTAAAGTGTAATGACTGTGTATTTTGTGGCCTCTGAAGTGCCAGAGTCTTGGAACATCCTCCTGACGTGAAAGGTGCTACACAAATATAATTTGTGGTTGTTGTTGTTGCATAAAATAAATATAGGCCCAGGTGGAATTTCTCCTATTGACTCACATAAAAACGCGTTTAATACAATCTACCCTGATTTTTGTTTTAAAAAGATGCATAATATAAAATACTGCTAGAAAGGACATTTGACATTGTCACTAAGATTTGAACATATCACAGNTTTTTTTCAAAATGGAAAACTGTGTGTATCTGTGTGTGTTTGTGTGTTTGTATATATAATATATATATATGTACATACATGTATATAAAAAAGCATCTTCTGGTAACTTGGTCCTTTGAAAACTTTACTGAACAGTCCTGAACGGTCTTAACACTAAACATCACTTACAGAGCAAACTATAATGCCAGACCACACAACACCTCTCTTTTTATTTTCTTCTAGATTTGTTCTCATTCTCCATAACCCAGTTTTCTGATGACGTGAGGTGCTCTTCGGCTAGGAAACAGCAGGAAAAGTTCCAGAAAACGCTTTGCCTGTAACTTATCCCTTTCCGAGCTCTCTTCCCCAGAACTGTCTTTTGTCCTTATTTGGGCTTCAGTACGGATATTGTTTCTGTTTCTTGCCAGCAAAGCAAGCCAGCCAAGTGCAGATTAGCATGGCTGCAGCAGCACCTCCTCCTGTACAGTAATAGGCCCATCCCAGCTGACATGTACCTGCAAATCAGTTAAAAACTGTTAGCATCTTAAATCAATCAAGCTTAGTTTCACTGCCAGCTCTTTATCAAATATCTACCAGGTTAAAGCTAAGAATAAAATAATCATGCTTGCATTTGATACTGCTGGCGAGTATCTCAGAGCACTTCACAGGATATACTGTGAGGTGGAATGACTATGTATTTGTAGGCGAATGAGAGGAACCGATTTTATTCGGGGGTTTGTTGGCCAAGGCAGCAGGAGAAACTTATTTTCTTGAACATCTTTAGCATCCACCTGAACGGGCAGAAGGAACCTTGGTTCAATGTCTCATTCAAAGGATGGAACCTCCAACAATGTAATGCAGTACTGCACAGGAATCTCACTTTGGACTATGAGCCCAAGTCTTGACATGAGACATGAAACCACAACCTTTTGACTCAAAGGCAAGATCAACTGAACCAACTCTGCATAGCAAAACACATTCAGGTTATGCCAGATCAGCTGTACATGCCAATAATAATAGGAAGGAACACTGTGGTGTGCTGGGATCTCAATCTGCCACATGGTGAATTGCCCCAGTCTGCCTGACAGACCTTGTGAGCAGCAATGCTCTGATTAAAATAAAAGGAATCGAGAAAAACTCACTATTTCTGAGGGATTTTCACAAGGTTCAGTGTAAATGTTACATTGAGCTGCCATTGTCCACCGTTCTACCTCCCTGCCATTGATGGGCAGACTTTCAGCCACTTGCCGCGCGCTCTCTGATACTCCATTCCTAGGTCCCTCCAACTTAATCCCTTCCCTCCCCTCATTCAAGGCCTGTTTCAAAACTTTCCTCTTTGATCGTGCTTTTGGCCACCGTTCCACCTCCTCTACCCTCCACACCTTGAATCCAACCCCCAGCGCAGGTACAAAGCCTTAACTGTTCAACACCTTCGGACATCCTTCCGAAGTGAAAGGCACTATGTAAGTGTAATTTTGTTGTTGTTGTTGTTGCTTTCAGTCATCCTTCTCCTCCTAGCCTTCTCTCAGCTCCACCCTCAGCCCCGTGCCCAGCCAGAATTGTCAAGCTTTAGGGATATCATCCAAAGTGTGAAAGGTGCTGTATAAGTGCAAATTGTATTGTATTGCAGCTTTGTTTAGTATGAGGCTATATTTAAGTTCTGTGTTAGACAGCGTCACTGGAAACCTAAATTTGTTTTAGATTCTGTAATAAACAATTGATAAGATTAACCCAAAATCACCAATAGAAGGAGAGACTGAAACGTTAAATGTGATCTTATCAGAGATATTTTTACAAGGAGGTGCTGTGCAGTAAAACAGACAAGCAAAGCTATCAATCTCTCTGGCACCAATTGCCCCATACATTCCTGAGATGCCTGAGGGGAAAATGTATTCTGCTGAAATTTTTTTAAATTCAGAAACTCAGGGGAAAGGGTCAAAAACAGAAAATCGCCAAAGGTGAAATGGGTCAGAGTGATATGGGGAAATAGTTAATAGTTAAGTGACAGCAAGCAAGTCGGTTTTAGAAATGTGTAGATTGTCAGAAGAAGCTCTGGAGCTCGGTCACTAAGGGATGAAGAATAAGGGAACTACAATAGCACCATAGAAATTTATAATGAATAATAATCTTTGCATTTGATATAGCGCCTTATCACGTCTTCAAGACGACTCAAAGCGCTCCACAGAATATACTGTACAGTGAATTGACTGTATATCTTGTGGGCAAAACACGAATTGTGCACAGCAGTGTCTCACAAACAGTCGAATACAGCACAGACGAAGGCCAGTTCTCACTCTCTAAAAGAGCAATCTGTTCAATATGTCAACTGTGCACACTTTGACTGCCACGTTCACCCACAATACACACTGTCATGCCACTTTACAGTATATCCTGTTAAGCGCTTTGGAATATCCATCTGATGTGAAAGGCTTCATACTAAATGTAAGGATTATTATTATTTATTATTATTATTATTATACCTTTTTATGTTTCACATAACCCCAACAGATAAAACTGAATTCCTCTTTAATCCTCCTGAAGGATTTGCTGGTGGTGAAATTCCATTAAGAGAAAAGGCTGAAGAAAAACCGTCACATTTGGTTGTGATAAATTGATAGTCAGTTTTATTCATCAGACTCACAGTTGTTTAAAAGGATAATCTGGGAATATAGGAAGAGGAGAAGTCCATTCAGCCCCTTGAGAATGCTCCACCATTCTATTAGATCATGGCTGATCTGTCCCTCAACTTCAATTACCGACCATTGCCCCATATCCCTTGACACCCTGATCTAATAAATATCTATCCATCTCAGGCTTGAAAATTTTAATTGATCCAGCATCCATAGCCTTTTGGGGGAGAGAGTTCCAGATTTCCACTAACCTTTGCGTGAAAAGCTGCCTCCTGATTTCACTCCTAAATGGCCTAGCTCTAATTTTAAGATTATACCCCTTGTTCTGGATCCCCCCACCAGAGGAAATAGTTCTCTGTGACCACCATATTGAATCCCATTATCATTTTAAACGCCTCAATCAGATCACCCCTCAACCTTCTAAACTCAAGGGAATAGAAGCCAAGTGTATGCAACCTGTCCTCATAATTTAACTTCTTAAACCCTGGTAATCTAAAGCTTATGACAGACTTACCAAGCTCAAATTGGTCTGAGAGATTGTTGCAGGTCTGTCGCACTTCCTCACTGTTCCAGCCCAGGGGATACAGAGCGCAGCCAGAGCCTATCAGGATCCCTGCGGAAGGGTAAAGCAAATCAATATATTTAGCGTGAGTACAATGTGGCTTTGTTATAAAATACACATCTGGTGTAAGAAACGGCTGGAATTGGAAGATGACAGGCTGTGATAAATAATATAACATATCATCCTTGCATTTGATACAGCGCTTTATCACGTTGTTGCGAGGTCTCAAAGTGTTTCGCAGAATACATTGTAAAGTAGATTGACTTTGTATTTTGTGGGTGAAACATGGAAGCCAGTGTCCCACAAACAGTTGTGGATTGAGTGACCACATTATTTTTTTTGGAGGGATTATTACCCCGGAAAGCGATCCACCAACAAAATAGACGAAGGGCTGTCTTCATCTGTAACTCTCTTGTGATATTATGGTATTAAACCTCTGGCAACTCTCAGCAAAACTGCACTTGTTACATGTAACTCTGTTTCTTGCTTCTGGTCACATTTTTCACCTTCCTTGTTGTTATACCAGATAAAAGATGATCGAGTTGTGCCGGCACACTACAGCACAATACAATGCTAATTTACATGTATATACATTTATAAATATATATATTTATTTATACATAATACATTCTACATGATGTACAACTTTAATATTTCTCTACAGATGAATATCTCAATTATTCATTGTTACTAATTTTAGGTTTTGTCCGCCTTGCCGTTCGGATGGACATAATGGGACCGCCTTAACATCCCTATTTCAAACAAACGCTGAATCCTTCTCCCGGATTTCCTGGTTTGTGCTCCTCTGCCGATCCAGATTTGCTCTCAAATTAAAATGAATTATTGTTGGGTTGTATTCATAATAACAATCCTTGAATTTGGTTCAGCGCCTTATCATAGGTCAAGATGTCAAGATACTTTAAAAAAAGATCTTCACAGGATTTTACTGTGAAGTGTAGTGACTGTATTTTTCAGCCAATTTTGCTGACAGCAATGTCTCACAAACAGCCACAGAGTGAATGACCAACTTTATTTGGAGGATTGTTGGCCAGGACACAGGGGAAAACTTCTTCTTTGAAATAGTGCCATGGGATTATCAATGACCACCTCAACAGGCAGACAGAACCTCAGTTTAATGTCTCTTCCGAAGGACAGAACCTCTAAAAATACAATGCACCCTACCCAAGAGTGGGGGTTCAAAGTCCTGACCTGGGGCTTTAACCCACATCCTTCTGAATCAGGCTGACAACAGTCTGCAACTGTGAACCAAAGATATGTTCATCTAACCAACTATATCCCCAAGCTACGGGTTTCTGCTTGAGTCGGTACTGTATCTGTTAGATCCTTTATCAGGGCAAAGGGCTTAGAAAGCTTCATTGCCATGTGTCAGTCTGACAGTACTTCCATCACCTTCACATAGATTTTAATGCATTGTTTGGTTTCTGGGTTGTTAAAATGATGCACATTGTTGAAGAAGCGCTTGACTGTTTCTGACATTTTTATCTCTCTTTATTCTCAAAGCACCAGATGTGCTGGCAACCTCAAGCCTTGTGGATTCAAAGTGAATGACCTGAGGTTTTCTAGCGATGCTCCCCCCAACCGCTCATCTGTCAAGCGAACAGGTTTCTAGTTCAATGCATTCAAAAGGAACGCTTTCGAAACAGCACTTTCAAATTTACAGAAAATAAACATTTCTCCTGAAATGTCTCAGATAGAACAGATTCTTAGCTCTGCAATGTCTTTGGAACATCAAAACAAAATCACACTGAATGATTTATAGGGGCCGTGCTCCTACCTTGATGATGAATGAAGTTAGCATGTGAGTGAAAGATGTTTGGAAATATCACAGTATGGAAATAATGCTTTATTATGGAAAATCAGACAGGATCTGTTTCAGGAAGGTTGTTGATAGCAGCATTGGTGGTTGTTGAATAGAAGTGGTTGCTTTAACAGGTCTGACTGTAAATCTAATGGAGACTTTTAAGTTTGTTGATGCCTTATCACATCAGGAGGAAGTTTCAAAGTGCTTCACAGTGATGGTGCAGTGACTGTGCATTTTGTGCCCATATATAATTTCTAAATGTAAGTTGCTGTTGAGCCATTGGAATTGTCCATCTGCTTACTGTTTATTATTCCACAATATCATGATCTTTTTAAAGTTATCAGTTTGCTACGAAGAAACACTAACCTGCACATACTGCTTTATCTTATTCCTCTCCTCCTTTCCCTGTGCATTATTCTGAACAGCTGATTCAAATGCTTAGCCCAGCAAATAGTCTGCCCCAGTCAATTACAGTCAAAGTGGGCTGCACGGGGCTGATTATAAAGGAACTCATGGAGGTTTTAGCCTGTTAGTGAATGATGCTTCCCTGTAGCTTCACACATCATATCTGCAGCTGTTTTAATGCAACTCATGTTAAAGAGATAATTGGCATCTGATCCTAGCAGCATTGAGCCAGAGATGAGGAGCCAGGGATTCATCTCTTCTGATGATCTTAAGGCCCTCATGGAGAATTTCCAGATATTACTGTCAAATCATATTGTATTCTTTTTCTAATCTGTGTGCTTTTCCACCTCCTGGTGACTCACTCTGATTAAATTGGATGACATTTTGTTTCGTTAGTAAAAAGCAGCCAAACTGTGTTTAAATGTGATGTAGAATGAGATGTTTGGAGGACAATGGGTTCTACTTTGTACATCTTAATAAGGAATCCTGTTAGAATGTCCTCTTAAAATAATCTTCCTTGAGGCTGAGGTGGCTCCAAGGTGACCTACCTACCTGGCAATGGAATACTGGAATTGAGTCAGCTATTTATGACGGTCTCAGTAGTCTGGTTCTTCAACCAGATGGGTCCACAGTACTCCAGGGCACTGCTGATAACAGACCAGCTAGCCTGGCTCATTTGCAGGACTTGGAGGGGCAGACCAGTCAGCTAAGTGCAGAGATTCCGCCCACTCAGCTCCTGATATCTCTGCAAACCAAACCCCTAACGGGTAAGAGTGGTCCTAGTTGGACAAGCAGCACAAAGCTTGTCAGATAGTGTTCGTGATAGCAAACAACTGCACTGAAGAAAGATTTTCAGCGTGCTTGGAGAAGACCTCCTAATGAGAAAGGTGCTACATGAAATGTAAGGAATATTGTTATTATAAATCTCTGACATTCAGGTGAACATATAGACAATTTCAACATTTTTTCCTCGCAAGCAAGTAAGTGGCTGATGACAATGCCAATTGCATCTATTTGACCCACACGCTTGAGACATGGAAGGCTACAACATTTTGTAGCCGTGTGAGATGGATTTGTAGCCAATGACTGATCTTTCTTTGCCTCCAATCTCATAATTTTCATCTGTGGCCATCAGGGAGCATGTGTGAATGACAAGCACGCTCTTAAATCCTATATTAATCATGTGTGATGTTTTCTCAGTAAATCTGATCCGGACATTGTGCAGTTTGCCAAGATTTGTGTGCCAGCTCTATATTAAGAGCATCTCTGGACAGCACTGCAGAAGAATAGCATGTACAGTATCCTTCTCTCCTCTAACTGAGCAAAACCATGCACTTAATTTGCATTAAATAGGAGAGATTATGCTCAATTTCAGAGATGTTGGAAGCGATAGAGTGTTTAAAATTATGAAGGGGATTGATAAGGTAAAAATAGACTCCTTCCACTTGTTAATAATAATAATTCTTGCATTTTATATAGCAATCAAAATTACCCCAAGTACTTCACAGGATTTATTGCAATGTGCAGTGATTGTGTATTTGTAGGTGTAGGTATACTCAGCAGCCTAAAATGACGGATTTTAATTGGGGGATTGTTGGCCAGGACACCGGGACAAATTCCCTTAACTTATAAATATTTCAAGAGGTGAATCTCTAATTCAGAACGGGATCCTCTGTTTCAAGGAAATCTATCACATCAATCGCTAACACGATAAATTGCGTAGAATGGGAAATGTTGCTTGGTTTGTCTTTTCTCCCATGCAAATAATCTCAAGACAGCCTGGGTCGACATAGGGAATGGGTGGAAGGTGTGCCAGGCGGAGGAATCAAAAGATAGTTTACTTAGCTTTGAGGAATTGCCTTCACTATAGGGCCACAATAGGGGTCGCAGAAGCAACCCTCCATTCTTCCTGCTGTCTCAAGTCTCTGCCATTCAATAAGTCAGTCGCTCAGACGACGGGAGGCAAGACCAAAGGCACTCTCAGGCCCTCAATGCTTTCTGCTCCATTAATGATGAAAGTAGTCATTTGAATTTCTATCGAGATAATGGGACCCACTGCCAGGCTGCCATTGTTTATCAGCCTGACACTGTGTCACGGCAAAGTGACAAGACAGTGAAGTGACAGTTTGCTACGGCCCCGCTTGCACTTGGACTTGATTTTCCAGCAATGAATAAATCTGCAGGGGGCTCGTCTGAGAGATGTGTGAAGCGGGAAGCACAGATGCATCACTTAACCAATTAATTGCTAAAGGGTTTAATGGCCAACAAATCTTTTCCTTTTTTTATTTGTTTTAAATGCAACACATTGCTTCTTGTTCTTTGATTGAGCAATTTGGTTTCTCATTGTATTACAGGGCAGCTGTGTAATTCACATCATCACACGCTGGCAGATCATGTCTGTGTGGTATCCCAGATAATAAATATTAATAATCCTTGCATTTGATAGAGCGCCTTTCATATCAACAACAACAAAATTACATTTCTATAGCGCCTTTCACGTCGGGAGGATGTTCCAAGGCGCTGGACAATCAGTGTTTCGGACCCGAGCTGGGGTTCGGGATCAGGGAGGGTGGAAGGCAGAGGGGGAAGAGGATGACTGAAGGCAAGGTCGAAGAGGAGGGTCTTAAGATGGGTCTTGAAGGAGGCAAGGGAGGGGGCGAGGCGGAGGCAAAATTTGTACACTCGTGGTTGTTTTTTCAAGCATGTAAATTGCTTTCTATTTCAGAGCCTGGCAACACCTGCTAGTGGGGCTGTCAAGCAAGCTCCAGGGCACTGCAGGGGTGGAGGCAGGAACCGTACAGTCTGCCAGTAAACAGGACCAGCC